CCTGTTTCGTCTCTGTGTGTTTCTGGCTGGCCGTTAGTGTTCCCCACCTCGGCGAGGTCACACACTGCACTATTGAGTGTACAACCTATTATGACCCATAACAATACTGTATAGTACCAAAAGGTTCTGAATGGCTCCCATTAATATTTAACACACACTCTGGTTTGTAAAGAGATGAGCAGCAGGAGCTCTGGGTGTGGTACAGCAGTACAGACCAGTGTTTGGCTGTTTTATGAGCCTATATTAGGTTGGATAATTGTGCACCAAGCCCTCAAATTATCTACATCATTGTACAAGCCTTCATAAATTTTTGCGGTATTTCTACTATTTTACTGAGGGAGTGTAGCCCCAAAAACAGTGGAGCTGGAACTCGGCAGAGCATTTGTGTGGCCCGAGTGGCACGCGAAAGGGCACGCGTCGATTACGTAATCTGGGACCCCGAGAACCTGTCAACGTTCCTGCGAAGGTCGAGGACGCAAGCCGAAGAGCGAATCCTGAAATTAGACCTGATACACCAGGGCAACCGTACACAGACCAAGGCGTTCGATGAAGGCATTCCGGACGAAAGGAAAGACAGGAAGCCTGCAGCCCGGTCCACAACCGCTCCCGTCTGGATTCTCATTACGACTCACACCCTAGTTCCAAAGAGGCAGAACCTCAGAGCGCCAAGTAAAGCCTCATCAGTAAAAACGTCGAAGGAATGATCATCTTTCGGAGGAACAGCGGGCGAGATTGGTAGTGTGAGAGAGACTGGACGAACGCGAGATGGATGGTGGTCAGAAGGAGCTCGAAAAGAAAAATCCTGCCAGTTAGGCCCGGCCCGGATGTATGACGGGAGATTCCGGGGTATCACAGACGCCACCGCCACAGCGATCCACAGCACCCGCTCCGAGGACTCGAAATAATTGGCTATCAAGCCTGTAACTCTGTCGTCTCTGAACACATATAATGCGCTTTCGCTTCTCTGTACGTTCGAATTTTTCAAGTCGAGCGGGCAAATGATGTAAAGAAATCCTTCAATGCAGTTCAGCGGCTTCGAAGTGCTGCCATGCGCACTCGCACTTGACTATCTTCCTCGTCCTCTGTTGATGACGCTGATATAACTATGTCCCAACTCATAAATACACCACGTGAGGTAGCAAAGTAGTCTCTTCGAAACTCCAATGTCAAAAATTTGGCTGTCTGACTGGTCTATCCTCACGATCACGATAAGTTCTCGGAACGTGAGCAAATCATTCAATAGAGTACGCGTAAACTGACATTCTCCGTACATATTTAGAAAATCCAGAAGCGTGCAAAGCCCTGAAAACGTTCTAAATTCCGTATCAGTACTGGTGAACTTTGAATGCACGCCCGAAGGATACTGACCGAGCTGAACATGAGCCTATGCGACCGGCGATCTCTCCATGATTCACATGCACCTACTGACACAGTAGTCCTTGGTCGGTGGCGACACAATCTATACAGCCGAGTCAAGGGCACTCAACGTTAACCACCGTAATTCTCATCACTTGACAATAGTGGTAAACAACTTACGGCCCTCGAGTACACTTCCTGAGCAGCCGCTGAGGTAATACTTGCATGAATGACCGGCGTTGTAATGGTTGTTGCCGTTGCAGGCGGACACTGTGGTATAGGTCAATAAGGAGCATTTGTTTCGTCTGAAAAAAAGAGGTAAGATTGAAATGGGACATACATGGGGTGCAGGCGATGTCAGTCTGTAACGTCGCAGCACTGGCAGGGGCGATGAAGAGAAGCGCAGAGGCGAGGGCAAAGAATGCGGCGGAGAACTGCATGACAGAATATTGTTATGGAGGCTAGCTGGAAGTACAGATCCTGCGAGTGGAAGCGGGTTGGGGTTGGATGCTAAATGGGAGGGCTTGTCGGATTATATAGCTACCTGCGGTAGCCCGCATGAGGGTTGAAGTCCCACAGACGTCTGTATCGATTCATACCCCTGGAAGCAATGTTGAGAGCGAAATATACTAGAAAGGTCTAGAGGATGAGTGATGTCCGAGAGCGATCAAAATACAGGCCAATACTTGAGAGCATATGCTATACACCTTGACGTTGAATGAGAGGTCTCCGTGTGCCACATTCACCGATGACAGCGCAGACAAAGTAAATACGGTACAGCGCCATCTTTCATCCGCTTCTTACGACATGAGGATTACTGAGGACGGTCGGAAGTGTGTCAATTGGCATCACATCGATCGGTCTGTCGTCGTATATTTCAAAAGGACAATACAGCATTCAATGCCCGAACCCATTCCAGGGAGGCGAAACCCACTAAAATCATGTTTTGGAGACACGGCCGTGTAACCTTTCAGCCCCGACCGTGTTTCATTGCTGCGTCTGAGAAATAGTTCTATCTATCGGAAATCAATTTGTAAGTTCTACGTGATATACTGCTGCACGTTCGAGAGGTAAAAGAGAGCTGCTAGTGCAAAGAGCACGGGACACTTCCCGTCACAAATTCAACACATACAAAGCAAGCCCACGTAAGCTCATGACTTCACAGTTCTTGTTTGTAAAGTGCGCTTTGTCTCATACAGCCGACATGCAAGGAGCCGACCAAGTTTCCAGTCAAAGATCTGATGCCCTGCCCATTTACAAAATATTTACCGAGGAGTGCGGACCATCAAGTCACGATAGTGCTAGTGAGCGCACAGCGGATCATGATGAGAAAAACAACATCTTGTGATGTCTCTCCCAGTTCCGACTGCAACAGAATCGTCATACTATCATGCTGGTCCTGTTCTTCAATATAAAGACCGTTCCTTTCCCTGTTCCAATAAGCAGCCTACGAAACAAAGAGTTGCAGCTCTTGTAACATTGGCAGAGACAGGATTGTTCTGACGTGCACCGAACAACAATTCTAGTGAGCCGAATAATGATTAATTCTGTAGGTCATCATCTCGCACGAACACCCGGGAGGGTATACAGTGGTGTCTGCTGTCAAAACGAATGCGATGCAGTGACAAATTGTTTTCTCCATACCGTGTTTCTTTGTCCTTACTTTCTGCTGTGTTCATTCCAAAAGTCGACCAGTATACGTGATTGTCGACCAAAGCGATATCTTGAATTAGTACATTCTCTTCATCCCGTTATTGGTTATGATGCTGGGGGTCATTTCTGCGTAACTGCGGTGTTTCAGCCGCGGTAATCTAGTGAATTTTATGATAACTGGAATTATCATGACACTGGAATAGATTCCGGCAATAACGTTGACCTCTTGTCTACTCACCGTATCTGACAGCTTGAGATAGGACGTACAAATACCTCGGATGGCTATAAAAGCAGACCAGCGACTTCTTTCTTTTCACTCAGCATCCACAACCCCCTTCAAACTCGTAGATCTGAACCAGTTAACCAGTCTTCACAATCCGCAGGACCGCTACTTCACGATGCAATTCTCTACTCCTTTCTTCGTTTTTGTCTCTGCTCTGCTTTTCCTGGTCCCTGCAGCCAGTGCTATCGCTTGTGATCCCTGTGCGCTTACTTCGCAAATTTCACCGTATAGGATGAAGCTTACCATGCCCCCCGATCACAGTGTCAGCTTGCAATGGACAGAATCACTACAATGCCGGGCACTCGTGCAAGTTCTACGTGAGCCAATGCACAGGTGATGTCATCGACGGCCGTAAGCTCTCTTGTGCACTTTGTTTTGGAAGTTATAACAACAGCTCACGATGATACTTTTTCTCTCGCTATTTAGACTGCGTATCCACCAGTAGTGGCCTGGTATGTCAGTAGGCACTTCTTTTAGGGAAGAGCAATGAGCTCACGAGCGTTTATGCGTCATGGTCAGTACTACTCGGTCTTCTCTATCATTCCCTTGTCCACCCTCCATTTGTTCTGATAAATTTTTCTTTAGACGTTTCTATGTCTCATGAATAGTTATGTCTTAGAGCTTGGTCTGAAATTGTGTTATAAATTGTCTCAGATGCTTTTCTTTGACTTATCCATCATTTTCGGGTAGAAAGTAAAAGCCGGATATCGCAGACTGACGCCAACGTATATCATGCTGGCTTCGTCTGGCGGACGCAGCCACTACAGCTGAACCTCATTCTCATCGTAATGATTTAATTTGTTCTGAAGGATTCCACCCGATCCCACCTCCTCATGTCCTCTCAATTATCTGGGGATGTGGCAGCCATAAATTGTTCCTAAGGCGGGATCAGATTACAATGCTAAATGCAGTCGAGATGTCACAAAGTCATTGGGTAAGTACCACCTGTATTCTCAACGTAGTCCTAACTCTTGGCTTCCACGCATTGCTTGCGCCCATAAAATGGTCTAGCTTTGAGAACGTACCGATGTATGACTGTTCCATCCGCGGCCAATCCGTGACATTGGTACGTACCGGTCTCGTACCGTACACATTTTGACGGTGATATGGGACAACAAACACGAAGGATGAAGCAAGGTGTGGGAATAGGCTCAGATTCAAGATTCAACAGTGACTTATACGTGTGAAAAAATGTATGACAAAGGGCGTTCTGTGTGTGTCGCTGAAGATGTGGTCTCAATTACTCAAACATTGCGTGGTCAAGGTAGATTTCTAGGATGATGTCCTCAGATCAACAATCGGAATCGCATCACGGTGTGAAAGTACCTAAGAGCGAAGACCCGGTGGCCATATTACCTGAATCAGAAGAGTCAGTTATTGTGGCGTTCCCAGAGGCGTGTCTTACGCATGCCTTTGATACTGTACGCGCAAGCGTGGGCGTGGTCGCCTTGCTTATAATCTAGACCGACATCTTGGGTGGTCGAGCACTCCTAGTTTCCCTCTATCAGCCCTACTCATTCAATGTTTCTCGGGGGCAAAAGAATGGAACGTACGTCGATCTTGCACAAATTAATGTTCTTTGTTCGTAGCTTGCATATACCTCTAGCCGTGCGCACAGCGACGCTCGCCAGCATCGTCATGGTACATGGGCCTATCTTGGCAAAACATGTCTACTCATACTGTACGTCGCTCAGTTGGCTTCACTCGTGTGTCTCTCTATTCCGTCCTCCTTGGCCTTCGAACTCGCTTTCATTATTTGGATATGCTACGTCTTTCTGGCACTCTCATTTAGCCCTCAACCATCCCTACTCGTGTGGTATACCTCTTCTCCGGCTCGGAATCGAACCTCTCTACGTTTGTAGCAGTACAATTCTGCTACCGGTATGGAGAGGCTTTCTCCTCGCAATACGACTCAGAAACCCTACTAGCAGCGCCACTTCTGGTTCGCGTAATCAGATACGGACGGTGGAAGAGGCGATTGGGACACTAATGGGTGCAGCTATGGGAGCATGGGGTGGATATGTCCTCGGGAGGCAATGGTTGCTTTGGTGAGCTTGCGAGCGAACGGGAGAGAGTTTTATTGCGACGGTGCGTCTATCTACCATTCTGAGCTGTTCTTTCTCTGACACGCATTCCATTTCCATTCCACAATAATCCGATGGAGTAGATCCGGCATTTTGATCGCGCCATGGTGATTGTAACTGACTTTTTGTATTATATGTTCCGCACATGAAAGTCTTTATTATACGTATATGCGAGTAGACAGAGAGATCCTGAACCATACGTCTTTTGACTAGAAAGGACGACAGATGAAACTCACCGGATATCCTTTTCATAATTCTTGGCCCGATATTGCGACTAATCATCAGTGCGGGTACAGATTTCGCCCCCACAAGAGCGCCACACTGCACCTTACTTGCCGAACACTTGGAGACCTAAAGCTCAGGGTGATAAAATTGGACAACAAGGATCAGGGATTGCGAATAGATTACAAAAATAAGAGGCTAGTACAGTATATGATGTCGCCCGGATTCAATTGAGGGCCATATCCGTAGATAATGGCATGCATGTCCATATCTGGAGGATCATCCGTCTGCAGTTCATGTAAGTAAGTGAGGTATCCGTACATCCTAGAAACGAAATTTGGTGTTCCGTTTGGAGTATATTAGGACGTGCCGATAACTTGCACACTTCAATGAATAGCAGACATGCTATGGGCCTCACTAGGTATGAACATGCATGGGACCTTAAAGTGGAGACCTCCGGAGCCTCCAGCGTAAGCTACCCCCGGCGTTTGTAAATAAAACGACCGAAACAATAACTGTCGAGCTCTTGGTGCTTCCAGATATGATTAGGGCGATGATTAGTAACGTGTGCCCTGCGGGAAAGTTCAGTTCTCGCTGTGGAAGGAAATAATTTCATGGATAACACACGGGTACCACGAGCAGCATGTTCTGCGGTTGAGAACCGTACCGCTTCGAGATTATCCTACGTTTACGCATAAACTTGAGACTCGGGCTGACGGTCAAGAACATCACATACCTTCACTTCAGATAGTGAGCGGTGTGTGTTGTGAGAAACAACAATCTGCCGAATGTTGAGACGGGTCTGTACACCCGGTTTGAGTATCATAATTCAGCCTGCAGATAACATCTGAAAACACGAACATTAAACTCTTCCACCGTCATGGTGACATCCTTCTCACACTTCTGGAGATCGTCGATGATGTTCCTACGCTTCAAGAACCGTTTGACCGGAGACGTGCTGTACCAGGATAGAACCTCGATGATCAGGGACAGTTGTCTGCGTGTTACCTTGTGAGTATCCATGACTGAACGGAATGCATGATTGGGATACGCACTCCTCGAGGTGTCTGAAAAAGGTTCTCATGTCTTCGGAGAAGTTGACGTCGTTATTGCTGTCCTCGTATACGCCGAGAACGATTTCTTGCAGGCGCACAATTCTGTCTCCCAAGGAACGTAATGTCGTTTCAACCGTCTGCAGCTCCTGAAAGTGTTGTTGATGCTGTGTATCACAAGTATATTCGAGTAATGAAGGACTAACTTACCTTGGTGGCTTTGACAACGTAGTCAATAATACTGGAAAGGCACTCAACGTATGGAACGCCTTGTGTCATTTGCGATGCTTCCTTTAGTAAGAGACCTGCAAGCTTCAATAGCTCGAGACCAATATCCCGTGAAGTATCGGAGCCAAGGATTTTGCGAACTGAGGGAATAGAAGTATACAGTGGACATATAGTCGAGCATGAACAGTGAATAACAGGTGGCAGACGACTCACCACAGTGCATGGGACGCATCCTTTGACGGGACTTTGATTGAGCGTGGCCACTCGTTGGATGAATTCCTACAGCTGACGCATTGTCGATATCAGACTGCATGTTACCAATAGCTTCCTCAATGGGCGCAGCGGCCGCTAGTCTCGTCGTCAGCCTCGTCCTTGCTGAAGGTGTACAATACTTCATAAATAGACGTACACACTTTCGGCCGCCGCCGGATTCTTATACGCTTGAGCAGCGGCAGGTTGAACTCGTCAATGTGAGGACAAATCAAGAGGTTAGGTGAGGTAGAAGGTCTCGAATGGAAATGGGCGGTGCGAAAGGGGCAGGGAGGGTTGCAGCAGCGAAATAGTAATGAACGTAGGTATGGTCCCACGAACAACGCCACTGAATCGGGTTGACTCAGTGTATTAGGGTTGAACATCGTTATCGATGTTTCCCCATGTGTATATTGGGGTCCATGCCTCGCCTATGTTCAGAGATTTCATGAGAAACCTGATGCCTGGAAGAGAGAAACCGTGCTGCTGAAACTGCCGCCATCGCCGATAATCATCACAGGAAGTCAACGGGACAAGAGGAGAGACATCCACTTCGGGAATCGTCGAAAGTGATTTACGTTGCGCGATTGCTGGACCAATAAGGGGAACACACATTTGTGCAGAGTATATGGGTTGTTGAAGAAATTGAGGGCACTACTTGGACATGTGGGGACGTCAGAAATATCCTTATTGTCTGATAAATTGTCCGTATTCTAGAACTGCAAGGGAGAGTGAGAAAGACGATCGTACAGAACATGAAGCCATTGAAACATGACCTAGGCAGAACGTACCAAGGACACCAGCTCACGGAAGCCCACAACCCTTCACTAGCCTCCCCCAGACTCCCCGGCATGACTGACTGCATGGAGTTGAGAAGAGTGAGGCTTTAGTGACGAGACGACTGCGTCCAGAGAGTACTAACGGGTCATGTCACCGTGTACTTGCGTCATTCGCGCGTACCATGCAGAAATAGCCCAAGATTTTTGATACCTAACTCAAGAGGAGCCATCAGATCGATGGCGAAATCAAGAGAGTAAAATGCACAAGAGGATCAGCACCTCGATGGTGGTGCGGGTCGTGTCCTTGCAATTCGAAAGAAGTCGCATTTGGTTGGACTACATGCAGAGCAAGTCGTTATCTAGTACACTCTGATGGGTACTTAGAGTGTATATTCCCAGCTCAAAGACGAGGTCAAGTACCAAAACAAACGGTGAGGAGAACCAGGCAAGAATAGAGGAGGCGAAAAGGTCAAGGCGGTGGCCCCGATGAAGATAGGGCATACATCGCATTGAAGCACAACGCGCATTGTACAGGATCCTGAGATGGATCCGATATCGCAGTACAATTCAGATTTTGGATGGAGAGTTATGAGAGACACTGAGCTGTAATCGCCTGCTGCAGCCGTATCAGTTCGCATCGCTCTTCGGAACGAGAGATATATCATTGTGCGCCCAGGTATTCGACAGCGAAGCCGCTAGTGCGTCGATCTCTAGCTCCAAGCTATTAGTGGAGCACGATAATGGCTGGTCAGAACCAAGAGATGACCATACAGCTCCGAAACACAACCAGTAAGTGCGGAGGGATCGAGGTAGAGAGTAGAAAGCCTGGGACGCGTGGACGTGTGGCGAACTGCGGCCGGCGGCTAGTAAATAAATTTAGGCTCAGATTGATGTGGCGCCGGTGAAATTTGTTTTTTTTTCTTCCTACGCCACCACACAACCATTTCCAGCACATTGCCTCTTCTACGAATCAGTTACAATCAGGTACTTAAAGGTAATAGAGGTGCCATTATCCTCAGTATATATATATTTCTGCATGGCATTTGAATCCCATTAGGCTACTCGAGATCTCATCGATGAGTACCCTGTGCAGTCGTCGATCAGTCACGCCACACTCTGATTTTTCACCGGTCTTATCAAGTTTATGTTTCTGACTTCTACGTATTGTTCCCGTAGCAAGATATCAGGGTGTAAATCAGATCAGATCCAGCCATGGACGACAATGAAGTAGACTCGGACTCGGAGCTTGATTCGACTTGGGAGCAACTATTGCAAACGAATCCCCAGCGACTGGTAGACATCTTCGATCTGAACTATGATTCCATTGGGCAAAAGAACAAATGGGGAGACACAATCGATGTAAGTACCAGCCCATTCTATAATCTCTCGTATACCTAGGACTCATGAGATCAACCATAGGATATCGAACCAGTCAAGCGTTGTATTCGGTTCGCCGTCAAGATTCGTGACCGAAGTTCACAGTGGGACGGTCTAGTGCGTGCTGGAATAATGGATAAACTCTGTGAATGTGTAACTGGCACACGTAAGACGTTCAGGAGACGCCCTGTCCAGGGCTCTCCGGGAGAGCCGATCTCAGTAAGTCCATCCCATCGTCACTAATCCGACTGTCTCAAGGAATGTGCGAATAACCTTACTCTGCAACAGTTTCATTCTATCTATTATGAACCCATGAGATATCTCATAATGGCATGCAAACGGTTTGGCTTCGAATCGGCATCGATCACGGCGAACGTCAAAGGTTCTCTACGACGACACTGGAAAGACATGGCTCGGCGTGTAGGTACTCTCACAGTCCATTTTTCGAGTTTATATCTCACAGCAACCGTGTATTGTGTAGCTGTGGAACGATCCGGACCAGACTGAGGATCCACGAGCGTCGATGGCCTATGAACGTGCTAATATATGTCTCCTTGTGGATCTGGCTTGCGGGCACAGCCGTGCAAGGGATAGGGCGTTCATGACGGTATACTATCATCTCTCTGTCTGCCTGAGGAAGACCTGATTAATTGACCAAGACCGTGAAGATGTTGCGAGAAGATGATGATCTCACAACGCGCGTGGGATTTCGGTATTGGATCAACTCAACTACACCTGTGGACTTTCGCATCATGGAGAGGTTGCTGTATTCAATCTACAACATCACCGACGCCGACGAAGACGAAATACTTGGTCCGCTCTTCACAAAGTTTCACCGGGAGATGCACGCGGGCTGCAAGAGCTTTCAACGCAGCGTCGCGAAGATCGAGTGGTCTCTTACCCATCTTCACAAGGTCGATATCACTCTGAGCAGCAGCACCATCCCGACTATATTCCTTCTTTTCCAACACAGCATCCAAAACCGAACCATGAAGCTCTACATGACTGCTGAGCCCGACCTTGTCCATGCTTTTCTGAAGCGAAAGGGTCTGTGGAAGGCTATCTTCGAACACCTTGTCTTCATCTCGCGAGATACGTCCATCCCCGGTGTATCCCGCCCATACTCGGTCGTGGCTAGTAGAACTTTACATTGCGTTGCAGACGTCCTGGCGGCCACTCGGCGTCAAGTTACGGAGGAGTCTGGTGAGTTTTCTCGAGTGTTAGTGCAGGCCGGCATGTTCAATGCCCTGGAGGAGGCTATTCCACGATTCGCATCCTTCGTTGACCTCTCATGTATGTCCCTCCTCGACGTCCCCTGCCAATATGTATAAATATGACTGACTCTTACCATAGTCGCCATGGATAAACTGCTGGGATCTCTCCTTCTCGTCTCCGAGCGCCATCCCTTTCTCTACCGATCCCTACGAGAGCAATTGCCCCGGCCCAGGATTCTCCGTGCCTTGTTAGATGCAGCATACGTCGGCCCCGAAAAGCCTACGCCTCCTCGATTCATCCCATCCAGCATGCTCCCGGTCAGAGATGGCCCGAATCTGAACACCTACCACATCTGCCCGTGGTTCTACTTGGACCTGTTACGGCTACGCGCTGAGATGGATAAGGAGTGCTCGCGGAGAGGATGTAAGAAGCGTAGGAAGGCGAGGTGCAAGGCGTGTAAGAACACAGGATATTGCGGGTTCGAATGTCAGAAAAGGTGCGTGGGGGATCGTCGATCTCGTTCGGTGTCGTTCTGTCAACTTACACCTCCATGAAACCGTAGGGATTGGGACGAACACCGCCTCGTATGCGGTTTCGGGCGCACTCGTTCTCCCTCCAATGTACGGAGGCAGGGATTCATCGAGACCGTAACATACCCCGCTCGGTTCCCAGTGGCACGTTCAGGATACATCGAGTCCTGATTTCTCCAGTGATGTGTCTGTTGCGGACTACAGTATTGTGCGATGAAACTGGGTACGTTGCACGCTACAAGCGCTAAGTAATTGCAACATAATGTGGTTGTCGATATAGTGTGAAATTGCTGAATTGTTCGAACGAGACCCCAGCAAGCAGAAACAGCGAACCTCGGCGACTCGGCGAACGCGAACAAAAAGTTGTGAAACGTAGATTTGTGGCGTAGCAAGTACTCAGAGATGTGGCGTGCTATGATTAGAAGTGTATGCAGTCGTACAGCAAATAAAGCGAGGAATGGCCGAGTTGTAAGTATGTACCGGGATGGGAGAGACGTGTCCTGTTGAGTCTATGTACAGCAAGGAAGCATGAAAGGTTGGCGGGTAGGTACGTGAAGAGAAGACGCCGGTCTAGAGATTATGTGGCGCTATGCTCGTGCGACAACATGCAATGAATAAAGGCAGGGGCTGAACAGAGGATATTGGTGAAACGAGGCAGGAGGAGGGAATCATGAGTGCGAGCGGTGGACGAGAGAAGCGATAGAGCATGAAGTGGCGGGGTATCCGTAGACGAGAACTAAGTAGAGAAGAGAAAATAAGCTATCGAGGAGTCGACCAAAGCATCCACGAGAGGAAGCCCCAGTCGAGAAGGATAAACGAAGAAGACATCAGGTAATCGTCCTCTCACTGGAAGCTAACCCTGGATAGCAGTCCCTCTATGTCGAAAAGGTCAATCTTGCCGACTCCATACTCCCCATCGTCTACCGGGCACCACCGTCTCCACTCGATTTCGCCAACGTTGACGGTTCGCCCGGCATCGACTTCTGGTATTGATTCCGTTGCGGGGTTCGGAGTCGAAGCCGATGAGAGAGAAGTGTAGACGGTGGAAAGAATGGGAGCACGAAAGTCGAGCTCGGAGTGGATGTGCTGACGGTTGAGAGAGGCGAGGACGAGAGTCGAGAGCCGTGGGACGTAAGCGGGGGAGAGAGGCGAAGATCCATGGACGCATTCGGCCAGCAGCGATATGAGGGTAGATGGCGTGGAATGCTGGATGAAGGACAGGGAATCGCCCAGGAGATGCTCGTTATTGTTGACGACCAAGACGCGAAGATTCGTCAGCGCTGCTACGAATGCACAAAGCGCTCGTTCACTACAATGAACCTCCTCGATGCGCAGGACTTCGAGCTTCTCCACCAGGGGAACGAGCAACCTCATAATCTCGTCGTGCACCCCTTCCTCCCGCTCCTGACCCATAACCGGTAGATCGATCTCCAGCTGCCTCAATGCCGGCAACCTCAAACGCTTCAAAATCGCCGCGCCTTCCTCCGCTCGTTGTCTCGCGAATACCAACCTCTTCAAGGATCGCATATCCAATACTTCCTCCACCGGCCATTCGTCCGCCACGCCTAACGGACCCGAATTGTCCAGTACCAACGTCTCCAGTCCTGGATTTGAAGTAAGGATGGCCTGCAGTCGAGGATGGGAGATCCATACCCGACTATCGTGATCCCGCAACTCCAATGACGTCAACCCGGTAATGAACGTCGACGCTCCCCAGTACAGATCCAAACCCCTCAACCTTACACTCTCCAGCCTCGGTGCCACTCCATTCAACGGAACGTGAACGGTTCCCCAACGCGAAATGTCTTCATAGCCTGGGATGTACGAGACCGAGAAGTCGATGAGGTGTGGCGCGGGGCCGAGAGGGAAGGAGCGCAGGGAAAGGGAGACGAAGGAGTAGTTGTTGGACGTGACGGAGTATGTGCGTAGGGGACGATGCGTCGTGAGGAGCGTCAGGCGTTTCCGGACTTTGTCCGTATCGGTAAGGTAGAACGGACTCTCGTACTCTTCATCCGCGAATGGATGGTGCTCGGTGATGGGGTGGCGCGCAGCAGGGCATGGGTAAGTTTCGATGTAATCTTTCGGAGAAGTGAAGTCGAAATAGAGATTGAGTGGTTGGGTATGTGAGCGTTCGAGGAGGAGCTTCAGGATAGGGAAACGTGGCGCGTCGCGTGTGCAGGAGATGGTGGTCCAGAGGCGAGAGTTGGCGAGTGCGATGTCGCGCCAGCGACCGCAGACTTGAGAAATGAGTAGAGGAAATGGTTTAATATCGTTGAAGGAGATTGGCCCTGAGCCGAGAGTGAAGATGTGGTTCAGGATTTCGGGTGGCACCCTGTCGAGGGCAGACGGCCGCGAAGCTACAGTTGCACTCATCGTCGGATGTGTGTACCGTGGCCGTTGTCAACAAGGTCTATACGGCTAAGAGAGCCTTGTTATGGTTGTGAGTAGGGTTGTGGGTGAGAGAGCAGAAGAAAGGACGCAGCGGAGGACGACGGTTATAGACCAGCACGCTGTTCGCGGGGAAACGTCGTCTTATAAGTGAGGCCGAGAAAATGAAGGGTGCGTCTCGAGCGTGTCCATGACGGCAAAACTTCCTCGTTGCTGCGTCCAAAGCCTCTTGGACAACAATCGTGCTGTCGAGGCCAGTCAGTTAGTCCCGTTCTCTCCCGATTGCGTCCAGCCTCATGAATGACGCGCTCCACAAGAAAAAAAACACGAAAGAGAAAGAAAAGCACCGCCGGAAGCCGAAGGCTTTGGAATTCAACACGGACAAACAAACGCTTTGCTTCGGCCCATCTGCGCCACCTCATTCTTCCTCACAAACTGCCTTCTTCTCTCGATTCAACTGTGTTTGCATTCTATCCAGCTGCACGCTTGGCTTCGCTTTCGTGACTTTGATGGCCAAAAAAGCTGGACTCGGAGCTGGTCATGCTGTGGAAGTCTCTCGTGCGGCCTAAACTACTTGAACACGCATCAATGCACCTGGATGCCAAGGAACCCTTGATGAACAAGACCAAGACAGACGCACAGTGTTGAATGGCGAACTGCCTGTCGTTGCTGGCGATTATGATGACGAATAACATCAAGGCCTTGCTGAAGGGTTGATGTTATCTGGGCGGGTGGAAGCTCAGTAACTCAGTCGTCAGAATGCCAGGTACGCTATATGAACTCTTATCCTTCATACTCCCTACTCACGTCTCTCGTAACAGATTCTGGGGTTACTCTGTACCACAACAGTTATCACATCGACGACTTTTGTAAACATCCAGATTCCACCCTACGACTTTGACCTCATTCAAGGACGAACCACACGTCTAAAACCATACGTCCACGTCATTCCTTGCTCCCTCGCACGTAACGAGGCTGGCCATCTCCTACCGGCTCGAGACGCTATCTATACCACAGCCGACCCCACTCTGCGTACCGCCGGGCACGCACCCGCCCCCGACAACTCCGCTCCCCCTGTCAGACCAGGACGGAAAGACTTATTTGCCTCTGTGGCGGGATTCTAGTACTGCTCCACTTGCTCTTTCGAGTTTCGTCTTAGATGCACTGACGCGCGCCAGTACTCCAACGGTCCTCTATCGTCGAGCATGATCTCTATGCGCACCCTGGGACAATAAGGCGAGAGTCAGATATCGACACGTCTTTGCATGATAGGCGCGTTCGCTTTCATGATGATTATTACTTGGGATACTGAGCTTGGACGTCCAGCCCGTGTGATCGTGTGGCGCTACTTCTACCGCAGAACTCGTTCTAACGTTTTCCAAACGATGTTAACAAGTCACGGGCTGAGTAGTGTCGTTTCGTCCTGCTTTCGATGGGCATTTTCCTAGCATTTATGTACTTGGAGTCAAAGCTTCGTTCGGTGCTTTCGATGCTTGTGGCTGGCCGTAGCGACGGTCGTGTCTGTAGGACTCTTCGGTCCTGAGACCAAACATTTCCGTCCTGGCAAAGTCTTTGCTCGAGTTTTTCGACTCAAACATTGCACGCGTAGTGGTGGTGTGTGTTCGTAGCAGGAAGCAGCCGACCCAAAGTGATGACGAGTGGATCGGCATGCATCGAACGATGAGGTATTGTACGGCCAGCGTTCTCCAATCCCGTCCATGCATAACTGGATGTTCTGCAGAGTGAGGACACCAGTGGTAGTCAACCGATTTCAGCGTGTTAGGCGGAGATTTTTTCCGTATGCCCGTGGATTGATTCGTCCGCTCGAGACCACCAATCTCTAGAGCTCATGACCATCAGACTCTGGAAGCATCCGTGAATGTCTCTTGGATATTCAAGTCGATGTGGCGCGCTGCAATAAAATACACAGGTCATACCCTCGCTATGATCTGCGTGATATACATTGAGACGTCTCTCTAGGTTGTTATTGTCCACGCAGAAACCTCTGATAACGGCTTGTCCTTTCTGGACACGTCGAACACTTACTGTATCGCGTCACGGATAGTATGCTACACTGTTCATTCATAAATACCATCTACGAACTCTCTCCGTCTCGAACTCCTTATCTATCGTCACTTTTCTCACAACCGATACGATCTCTTATGTCCCTATAATTCTACGTTGAGCCTGGGACGGGGAAGGGGTCAAAACTATGAGAGATCGACCCTATTTTGGCCCTTGATGCACGCTATACCCAGCTTCCCCAGGGCCAAAACGCGGGGTTTTGCCAGGGATTGAAAAGCAGCGGGAGGGCGACGAATGACACAGGTGTTACGGTGGTGCATGAGAAGTAACTGGCTGGTGTCCTCATGATACCCTATAATGTCCCTCATGGGTCATATTCCGCTCATCATCCTTCCTTGTACACGGATGCCACTTCTTTGTTGGGTCAGAAGGGCACTTCACTTTTACTAGCAAACAAGTTGTCCGGACTTTCGCTTCCATTCAGACCATCAGCGCCTCGTGCATGCATAGTCCGTGTCTCATTCTCTCATGGCATCCTTACGTGCGCTTGAGCGTCTGTGTATCTTCCCTGTCGGTGGTCTGTCGTCTGCGACCGAAAGGAGTTTGGTCTTTGTCAATGTGTGCTTCCGGGTACGCGTTTCTCTTTCCGTCCAGGTCTTGGAATTTATATGACTGGATATCTTCGCTTATATAAGTCCCAATCGACTTTATTTTCGACCATATCTACTTACAGCCCTGAAGGTCCTTTGTCCTTTCGTCTAAAATCATGGTGTCCCATTTTCTATCTTACAGTTCTCCCAACATCCATTCGGTCTCTGTCCCTGACTTTATCATCCTCCGCCGGACAGTTATCATCCACTGCGCAAGCATCTCGAGGACATCGACTATGTGCCACATTCACACCAAACCCGAGCAGGCGAGTGGTTTCCAGATCCCTGCAGAGAAGATCACTTCTTCTGCATTTATATGCCGTTAGAACCGTGGGGAGTGATTTATCATTTAGGCGTTAATCAAAATTTTTCATCGATGGTGCTTATTCATGTCTAGCCGCTGATCACCTCGTATGTGCGCTTTTCGCAAGTGCTCTCTCTGTCTCCCATACTATCACCGTGGAAGTAGCGTCTAACGGATATTAACCCTTGACGCTCGAGTCTGAGGTATCTGGGTCTATTCTCACTTTGATGGCGTATTGCTGTCCAGTAACCACGAGGATCGAAATCTTTCTGTTCAAGTTCCGTCTGGCCTCGAGGTAACTTAAACGCCCGGATGGGTAATACACGGTTCTTTTTGGCTGCTAGCCTCAAATGCGCACAGCGTTGGCTGTATCGGATTTCTGAGGCCTGTGCACAGGTATGTCATAGACTTACGAAATGCCACCACGGCATCCGTTCCCCTTTTAGTTAAACAAATGTTGTGGTTCAGTATATATTCCTTGTGATGGTATGCATGGTCTATATTCTACGATGATACTCGAACTCCCGCATATGGACCACTCTTTGGCGTCTGTTTCACTGTTCACATCTGTGGAGATAAATCATTTTGCTGAGACGAACCGTTTTCTTTTCAGCTCTGATGGCAGCTATGTTCTCGTCTCTGCTGCCGGTAGGTGCGGATGAGATACCATGAGAGGTTGTGCGCAACTGATGTATTGTTCAAGCTCTTTGGTTTTCGGACTTCGTCGAGACTTTCCCTGCGGAAGTCCGTGTCATTTGGTCGAGGCCGATAAGAGGCCCATCCACGCTCTTCTTCCTGAGCAGATACAGCTTTCTCGGGTATCTCATTCTACCCGTGATTGCTAGTGGACACGGATCCGACACCGGCAATGGGTATGCAACCGTTTGTTGATAACAGTCTTCCACATTGATCAGAGGCTCTTGTGTATTTACAGTTGCTCGCTACATGATATCTTACTCAGCGCATTCGCGACTTTGGCCACTGCATCATCTGGATGTAAGGCCCATTGATCCCGACATCTCGATTGACCCACATTGCATTAACACCAAGTTTATCAGTCATCCTATCTCTCAGAGTCTTCGCCATCCACAACCGTAACAGGACCTTCCTGGCAATTGCAGCCATCCTGATCATCTCCAAGTTATCCATGGATATCAATGTGTGTACCACGAGATTGCATCTTCGTCCTTCTTCTCATACTGGCTTAGGTTTCACTTCAACAAGGTCACTCAATATCGGCGGATCACGTTCTCTGCTCTTGCAAAATGGCACCCTCAAATCTGAAGCTTAACACTCGGTATGTAATCACTTCGGGCATCACATTATATTCTATGTTAATCATCTGCTTGGCAGGTGTGCGTCATTATGAAACTCTTCGTTAACTCGTCTGATACCTCAACACAGTTGAAGCAGCCATTCCTCTCCTCAGCGTCGCATTTGACATATTCATATTTGCGCTGACACATACGAGTACTTGGAAGCATGCACGTGAGATGCGAAGGCTGGGACATTCGAGCGTGGCTGAGCTGATCTGGCGTGACGGTGCGAGATCATCGATCAATTCCGAGACCTTTGAGATGATTTTTACTGATACAGCACCCTAGGCGTTCTATACTTCTTGTTCGTTTTGCCACATTATATCCTCGTATTGGGCGCAGTCTTACACATCGGGAATTTAAAAAGATCCCTTCTTGTCATCAGTATCGCTCAAGCCAGCCTCACCATGGTCAGTGCTTGCGTAGTTTCGTGTCTTTCGCGTGCTGATGGACATCGCAGATCGCAGCGGCGAAACCCTCAGTGAGGGTTCCAGCTTTATTCGCATTCAGGCCCATGATTGCTGACACGCCGCAATGCAAAACAGCCAGCATCGACGTCTGTCAGCTCGCTTATCAGCCCCTTCTTGGTCGTGTTTGTTGTTCTCATGATTGCTTACCTCGCCCCCAAACGTTTCACTGATCTCATCAACTTACAACAGGATTCCGAATATTCTGACGAATCGCATGGTCCTAAATCTTCGTGCATATGATTCCAGCGCTTCCCTGGGACCAACACGTTCATCATTGCCAGATATGATCTTCTCTCCGGACTTGTGGTTGGATAACATAGGGTTTGAAATGGAGGTAGATGCCTTCGATGATGGAAGCGATGATGCTGCTGCTGAAACCCTCATTGGAGAAGGGACAGTGCAGAGCATGGTAGTCGATTGTGTAGCGTGATCTTCATGAACTGTGCGTTTTTCTCTTAATGTTTTCGCCACGTATTAAGTTAAACACATTATCACAGATCTACGGGTGCCACTGACAAAATATATGTTGTAGTATCAAACCTTATAGGTTTCGAGTTCATTTGGAACACGATGGAGTAATATTGGGCCACGCAGATTACGAGCTTGCGTGAAAAGTTCCGAGTTGTTATTGATACACAATGTATATTTCTCGATGTATTTCTCGGCGTACGAATCTGCGCAGTGTCGAAGCGCAAGTCGAATGTTATTCCTGTTGATGTCCATTATAATTGAGGTTCTCCGGTAGTGTAGTGGTCTCGAGCTGAAATATAGCCGTAAGAGCAGCGAGACTAACTGTGGGGTACTGGAAAATACTGAAAGCTGATATTAGGCTGTATAGTAACTAATGTGGCAATAAAGCAAATGAGAATGACAGAATGAGATCACTAGGAACGAACGATATCCGACTACCGTATGAACGCGGATAGCAAAAAGACGCTCATACAGTTGCCGTCAGTGACTCGCGGTCACGGTTAAGAAGGTAACGTTTCGAGTGAATTGAGCTATGTCCCATGATAGAAGGCTCAACGGATCGGCGAGTTGTTTGGGCCGTGAAACCAGTAGACAATGAAGAGGCGCTAATCGCAACTCCGTGCATCGCGAAATCCATTGCCGCCGTGGGTGTCACCCGTGCGGATGCTGTCATATCCCACGCAGTCCTCTGGAGTGCCACAATGACAATGATTGCAGTGGGATAGAACCCCTGAATACGGCATTGAGTATTCCCGCCCCGATATATTCATTGAGTATTATTTCAGGGCAGAATAAAGGCGGTATACCAGAGAGATATCACGCACAGATATTTGGGCGAGTGCTGCTGGAAAAGCCACATTGGACGCACTGATAGGAAACGACCAGACACTCCATATCGACGGTGTCACCTGGCTGACAATGTACAATATCTTCTCCATTCGCGTCTGAAGTTAAGCAGGGATGTCCAAGAGAGTAAATGCGATGGATCACTCACCCACACACCGCAGTACAACACGGCGGATTCAATGAGAAGCACAAGTATTGCCCCTGTCGTCGTTTGTATACTTTCTCCGTCAAGGTATGCACGTATAGATGTTCTATGATGACTTAGGTATCGTCAGTTCACAGAAGAGGTGAAACACAAAGTAGATACCTACTAAGCCTTATACCCAATCAACGCTGTCGCAATAACATTGCTAGCTAGTGATGTTCCCCACATTACCCATTGACCAACGACCATTTCGTCTAAACTGACACCACCGCCATATGAGGAGTCATTGACGTCAGCGCTACCCGACTTAGGACTGGCTTGTGTACACACGGCGGGGGAACCACTATTTAGAGCACGCTAAAGGCATTTCTATTGCGAGATCAATATTTTATACATAGAGGGGAAAATGCAGTCGTCCAAATACCAGATTTAGCGTAGTTTGATGTGTAATCTATTGTTTTCCTTTGGATTCCGCTTCAAAGTTTCCCATGTCGGAGGCTGATGAAAAAAAATGGACCCGAGCGAATGATAATATTTGGACTAAACTTTAGAGTCCTCCAAAGGAGGATCTATATATTTTATCTTGATCTCAATATGGCGGCAGTGAAAGCCAGCCTTTGGAGTGCCCGATTTGGTGCACCAAAGATAAACAATCCAGCCCAATATGGAGC